ATTCCAAAAAATCTCCCTCCCCCAAAGCCAAAAACCAACCAAACCAACCCCCCAAAACAAAACAACCCCTCCCCCTTTGAACTACTCATTCTTCCCCCCTCCCATTTTTAAAAATTAGATCAAATTCTAATGGCCGACATTTTGAAATGGGACATACAGTCGCTTCTTTGTCCCAGAACAGTTTGAAGCAAACTGAACATTTTTTTCATGTAGCCACCCTAAACTCACACATAATCTGCAAAGGGTTAAAAGGATTACATTGGTGGCATGGCAACAATTTTCCCCCTTAGTTTCATCATGCTTTTTGTTTAACATCCAGTCCAACAAAAAGTTCCAAGGAATTAAAAAAAAAAAAAAGCTTTCGTAGAAGTCACATTTAATTCAGTAGGGCTTAAAGCTGTATAAACACACTTAGGTTTATGCTGCTGAATTGCTGTTGCAGCTGTATGAGTATCTGCATTTATTCTGGCTTTCTTTAATTCTTTTTCTGACAGAGGGGCCTTTTCAGAAGTGGTCTTGGCCCAGGAACATGGATCTCAGCGCCTTGTAGCCCTCAAATGTATTCCTAAAAAAGCCCTGCGAGGTAAAGAAGCAGCTGTGGAGAATGAAATTGCTGTGCTCAAAAAGTAAGTCAGTTTGCATTTCTGAGCCTTTCTTCCAGAATGTAAAATGAGCTTCAGGGTCCAGTGCTCAGCATCCATTTTTGGTATAGAGGCTTCATTTTGTTCAGGGACAACAGTTATAATAATGAATAATTTAATGCAAATACAGATGATATTTCATTGATCCAGTAGAGAGTCCAGTTTCCGGATATGGAAAAGGAGATCATGTTGCCTGCCCTTATAGTTGTATGGAAAAGGGAAAATCAGAGGCGCAGCTTGACCTGCAAGCATTTTTTGCACAAGCCAACCTACCAAAGTCCTGGGCTCAGAAAGCAACCCTTTTTCTCTTTGGGTCAGAGAATGGTTTCCAAGTGGTTTTGATCTCCTTCTCTTGAGTGCATTTTTCTCATTCTTTTAACTTTGGGGAGTGTCTGGGCTTAAATAAGAAGCATACCACACTCGTTTAGCAGGGATGGCAGTGAATTTTGCATTGTATAACCTTATTTATTCCATATCTTAGCCTTCGGCCAAGATACTTAGGGTGATGTACTTTTCCTAAGAATCTCTCAAGGCAGGTTAAGGTAAGAGATAGTAATTGTCCCAAGATTACTTATCGCCTTTTCCCATTTGCCCCTAACCATGGCATAAACATGTCCCAGCAATTGTGATTTTTTTTTTGTCATGATCTTATGACCTTATCTTCAATTCATCCTCAACACACACTTGAGGTGGCCTTAAGTCATCATTAACAGTGCTTTCCCCCTTAGGCAGCATTCATTTGGTGACACCCCAGTGGACAGGCTCAGCCTGACACTTATTGGCAACTTTAGGCTAGTGAGGGCATGACCGCCCCCCTCTGGTCCTTGGGCACTGTCTTCCAGGGCCATTCTGCTTTGAGTACAGTAGCAGGAGAATGTGGGTCTTTTAAACCAGCCTTTCCCCCTGTACTCGTCACGTCTTCAAGCTGATCCCCAGCTAGGAGACCTGTGTTTAAAAGACGGATCAGCCCAACTAACAGCACATCTGTCAGCTTCACCATGCAGCTATCTATCCCCAGTGCCTGTCAGCTGCTGTTTTGGGTTTGCTGGGAAATGTCAGAGGACTGTGTGGTGATTTCCAGCCTGGGAGAAGAAGCAGCTGAAGTGGGGAGAGCTGGCCCTTTTACCCTCTAAATTTCTGATCCCACCACAGCAGCAGAATCTGGTGGGTAAAGAATCAGCTCCCCCCTTTCCCATCACCTCTGACAGCCCTGGTGTACAGCTGGCAGATAATCCATCTACCAAAACTTGCCTCCTCCCCTGCCTCCTCCCAGTTAAGCAATGTGACTGGTGGATTCTCACCAGCTGGTAAAGTTTGATGGGAGGGGAGGGAAACCAAACTAAGGGAATCCACCAACCCCTTTCCTTAACTTGCCTTGTATACAGTAAACAAACACTAGTAAATAAACACCTTGTTCTGGCTAGTGATTGGCAACGGGAGCAGCAGGTTTTATGGCAGGATACTTTTCTGCTCAAGAATTGGGGGAGAGCACTTTAACTAGCTATGGAGAGATTCTTATCTGAGTAGGACTTCTCCCAACCCTAATTAAACTTTTAGTCTTAGGAGTATGTACATGGCTTTCATTATGCTTCCTACGCACAGCTTTCTAAAAAGGACAGGGTAGAATCTTGTGATGTTGGCTGCCATTCACTCTCCCATCTCTTAATTTTTGTTGTAGGATTCAACATGAGAACATTGTGGCTCTGGAAGATATTTATGAGAGCCCCACTCATTTGTACCTGGCCATGCAGCTGTGAGTAGAAGACCTTGCCCCATGAATGTGGTTCTACTTGTGAGGTCTGGGGTGGGGGAATTTGTCCTCTGGAGATAATTGGTTATTTTTGGAGAGGTAGGAAATAGCAGGTATTGGAGTTCTTTTGTAGATCACAATGATGTGGGTGGTTCTTTCAAAGAAAAAGGTCCTTGCATGCAATGAGCTTACAATCTAAAATCAATCTTTTCCTGATTGGTGCCATCCTGATTGCAATTTGAGGAATTGCATTTGAAGGATGTCAGGATGGGAAGGGCTGGTCTTAATAATCAGACAACAAAGGGAAGGCAAGTCTGGAAGCTGCAGAGATTCAAGAACAAATGCTGTTTCAGATACTTAGTTTCATTCCAAGTCCATGCAAAAAATGACTTTTGAGGAGGGAACGGAAGAGCGGTAGCACCATGTACCCTCCAAATGAAGGATCACAGCTCATTAGGATCATTACCTCCTTTTTCTGGTATGAACAGAAGCTCTGGAATCCACCACAGCTGGGCCCTCTATAGCACAGAAGCTCTGGAGTCCCACCACATTTGTGCCTTCAAGTCAGCATTGACTCCTGGCAACTGCCTGGACAAGTCCCTGTGGTTTTTTTGGCAAGGTTTTTCGGGAGTGGTTTGCCCTTGCCTGCTTCCTAGAGCTGGGAGAGAGTGACTGGCCCAAAGTCCCCCAGCTGCCTTCATGCCTAAGGTGGGACCAGAACTCACGGTCTCCCGGTTTCTAGCCTGGTGCCTTAACTACGACACCAGACTGACTCAAAGGCACAAAACAAACAAATAAATAAATGCTACTTAAATTTATCCATTGGCTAAATAAGCTGGATGTTAGATTCCCCGGCCTCCCTTTCCAACTGGGAAAGCAAGTTATTCCTGACAGTTGGATCAATCCTCACTCTGAGAAAGTGTGAATGTAAACCAGTTCTCTCCTGGGCGCAGGGTGACAGGCGGAGAGCTCTTCGACCGCATCATTGAACGAGGCTACTACACAGAGAAGGATGCCAGCCAGCTCATCCGGCAGGTGCTGGAGGCTGTGAACTACCTACACGATCTGGGAATTGTTCATCGGGATCTCAAAGTGAGTATGTTGGGACACTTTGCAGGTGGCCAGTGGGTCCCAACATCATATGGTGAGAGAGTAACTCCCAGACAAGGAGGCTGATAGACATTTATACTTAACCTGGTTATTGAGTTAGCCCATTTTCTGGGTTTGCAAAATAAATTGAACCATAAACTAACTGAGCGGCCTGTGCTGGCACAAAACACTAAGCTGCCACTGCCACCAAAAACAAGGTGGGGGAAATAGGTGAAGCCCACTTTCTGGAGTTCTTTCCAACCCTTTGCAATAAGAGTCACATGACTGGGAGGAAGAGGGAGGAGGCTTAAGAATGGAGCGGGTGGCAGCGTTCCGAGCCCCGCCTCTTCCTTACGGATGCATCGGGGGAATTTGTTCTGAATTTTGTTCTCTCCAGTTCACAGCTGGATTTGGCCCATTTTTGAACTCCATCTTTCCTTCATTGGTTTCTCCCACCACACATAATTTGGTCCCATTTTCCAGAGAGTTGTTCTGCTGAGACTCCTGAGCTTGTTTACATAACGTAACATAACGTAACATAATGTAACATATAATTTATATATGAAATATAATCTTTTTCTTACATTCAGTTGAATTGTGAATAAAAATTAGCCAGAGTTGTGCTAAACTGGCTTTGCGGTGTTGTGCAGATGCAGCTTTGCTTTTAGGATGTTAATGAAAAAGCTGATTTTGTATTATAGCCAAGGTATTTGGCCATGTTTGTAATTAAGCCAAGGTACTTGGCCATGAACACTGAGGGGAAGAGATTATTCCATAAAATGATCTACAAATTTCTGAATATATTACTTCAGTGTGCATCCTATCTATAAAACCAGCTCTTGGATTCTGTCTCTTTGTCACACGTTGGCTAGGAGTGAGGCTATGTGGAGGAAGCAGCTGAATTTTGTACGCTTAATTTTTTTTCTAGGAAAAATGACAGGTTTATCTTAGTAAGACTGCGTGCCAGCTGTTTGCAGAGGTTAAGCAAATGTGAGACTTCGGTGTGAGGGGACACCTTTAGCACAGAGCCAGCAGTTGAGAGGATCAGGAGTGGGATAATTAGTCCCTCTGGGGTTCTCACAAATCTCCTTTTTTCATGTTGCAATTAAACAGATATTGGAAGGGAATACAGGGCAGGAATGGTTAATTGCACAGCTCTTGGTTCATTCGTCCCCTCGAGTGTAACCCTGCTTGCATTATGAGCACAATTCAAAATTTGAAACTCACTGTAATGTGTGACTGCAGTTACCCTGTCTTTTGTTATAATCTATGAGGCAAAATATAGTCAACAGAACTAAAAGCAATACAAGGCTGTTTCCCGCAAGAAATGGTGGTCCCCAGAGAACAAAACAGGATTGAGGGTCAGATTTTTTGTCTGACAGAATGGTCCAGCCAGAAGAGGGAAGTGGCAGGAGGGTGGAAAGATCAGAGCGTAATGTGGAAAACGTTCCATCCCCTAAATCAGTGTTGTCCAAACTTGGCCATTTTAAGATGAGTGGACTTCAACTCCCAGAATGAAGGAATGAATCGATTTCTGGAGGAATGAATCGATTTCTGTCCTCTCCATGATCATTGGTGAGGCTGTTACTATTGATAGAACTTTTTGTCATCAGTGATAGTCTCTGGCCACTTTATCCTGTGTTGGCTTCTTTTTTTATTGCCTTCAATTTTTCCAAGCATATGGGTTCTTCTGCAATGATTCCTGTCTTTGCATTATGTTTCTGATCCAAAATACCTAAGTTTTAGCTTTGTTATTAATGGTTTTACTTCATCTAGTACAGAATTGTTCTTCTTGGGATCCAAGGTATTCTCCACAATTTTATCCCGCTGTATAATTCAAGGGCATCGTCTTTCCATTGTTCAGCCTTTTTTATTGCTTAGCTTTCACAGCAGTGTGTTACATCTGGGAAGACCATGGCCCTTACAATACATATCTTTAATATTTTGTCTAGATTTGTCGTAGTCTTTCTTCTAAGTAGCAGATGTTTCTTTAATTCATGGCTTGTGGATTTTTGAGCCTTTGAACTAGGAAGATAAAGTCTGTTACTACTTCAACTGCTTGTGTTGGGTTGGCATTGCTTGTAATCTTAATCTGTCCCCCGCTCCCACAATCTTTTACTAGTGAGAAGCAGACTGGCTTTTACCAGTGAGAAGCAGAGTTTTGTATTATCCTTTTTCATCTTCAACAAGAGATTCCTTAAGTTTTCTTTGCCTCCCATCAATATGGTTGATGGGAAACCTGAGCATATCTGAGGTTGTTAATGTTTCTCCCAGCAACTTTAATTCCAATTTATTCTACAGCTTTTCTCATCATTTATTCTGCCTATAAGTTAAATAATAGTATGCAATTTTGGCATATTCCTTTCCAATTATGAACAATTTAGTTTCTCTATTATTTGTTTTAACTGTTGCTTCCTGGTCATCATCCAAATTATTCAATAGGCAGATGAGGTGACCAGGTACATCATTCTTTTAAGGGCTATTCACAATTTGTTGTAGTCTATATAGTCAAAAACCTCTGTATAATCAATAAACAAAAATTGATGTTTTTACTTTTTCCATTATCCATTGGACATTATGAGTGTGGTTCTGGTCTACCATATACTTTTATGTGCTCTTGTTCCGTGTATTGTTGAAGTCTGAATTGCAGAATCCTGAACATTATTTTACTAACACGTGAGATAAGTGCAATTCAATGGTTTGAGGTATTCTTTAGCACTTCCCTTTTTGGGGGGAATTGGAATATAAATTGATCTTTTCCAGTTTCGGCCAGTGCTGCTTTGCCATTCCTGTTCACAACCCTCAAATAGCACTTTTAACTGCACCATCTTGTAAAATTGTAAAAAGTTCTGCTGTAACTCCTAGAGCTTTATTGTTAGCAGTGTTTTCTAGGACTCATTTAATTTTACTCTCCAGAACATTTAGTTTCAATTCAGTGGTCAAACCTTTGTATATATCATTGTTTTGGGGATCTTTCTTTATAATTCTTTTATATATTTGCACCATGTTTTCTTTATATGTTTCTTCTCCAGTAGATCTTTCCTTTCTTAATCTTTTATCATGCCAATTTTTTTTCATAAAAGGTCCTTTGTTTTATGTAATTTTTAAAAATATGTAAATCTCTTCTCCTTCCCATTCAGATGTTCCCTTCAGTTATTTCCAACATATTGTGGGGTTTAGAAGCTGGAATTTTATTCTTGGCTAGCACAGCAAAGAAAATAAGACTCCAGTCCTTTCTGGTTTAATGTGATATAGTAGATTCACCCATGTAACACAAATAACAAGCTATTTGTTTAGTAGAGTTTATAAAATCTATTCTTTACCTTCACTGAATAATCATTTGGAATACTGCTAAGGCTGAATCCTGTTGGTCTGATTATTTTGTTTAAGTTGTAATTTTGCAAGCGGGGGTTGTAATTTGTGCTGTAATTAGCACCAGGTCTTGTTTTTGCTGACTGAAGAGAACTTCTCCATTTTTGCTTGCCAAATATATAGTCTACAGTATTTGATTTTGGTGTTGTCCATCCAGTAGTGTCCATGTCTAAAGTTACTTTTAGGTTGTTGGAAGGAGGTATTTGCTATAAACATTGAATTTTCTTGCCAGAACTCTATTAGCCTCTCCTAGTTTGTTTTGTACACAGAGACAAGTTTTCCCTTTATTTCAAATGGTATTACTCAGCTTTTTGAGAACCAGTTTGGTGTAGTGGTTAAGGCATCAGGTTAGAAACCGGGAGACCAGGAGTTCTAGTGCCGCCTTAGACACAAAGCCAGCTGGATGACCTTGGGCCAGTCCCTCTCTCTCAGCGCTAGGCAAGGGCGAACCACTTTCAAAATCTT